ATTTCCCTTTTGAATGGTTTGACCCTATTTCTGTTCCTTAGGAAACAGTGATCTACGAAAATAGCCACTTCTAATATGCTATATAAAATATGCTATTTTACATAGGTATAAGCTTAAGCATAGCCCGTTTTCATTAATATTTGTAGTTAATGGGGTTTTCAAAGTTTGATATGTCTCTTGTGTTTCTTCTGATTGAAAATTGTTGATAGTACTAATCAAAAAAGTAATGATGTGTTATATCACTTTTGCTTTTCCCTTTAGGAAGTTATAGAACTAACCAAAGATCTTCTTTCAACCCAACCTTCGGAAACCCTTGCAAGTTCAGACAGTTTTGCTTCTGCTCAGCCCACTCACTCCTGGAAAGTAGGGGACAAATGTATGGCAGTCTGGAGTGAAGATGGACAGTAAGTGTAGAAACAAACTTCTCTAACTGTAACATGAATTATTACAATACAATGGTAAGAGATTTTCATTCAGTTTGAGCTACCCCACTTGAATCACTCTCTCTAGCTAATTTTATTCTTGGTAGATAATAGTAAGTGAACATTTTCAACTTTATATTTTCTTATAAGGAGAGGGATGGTTCATGTTAACTTGACTGTTTAATAAGATAGCCCAAGCGACTTTTACCCTAGATTGTAGTTTTAAACTTAATGTATAGTGTTATTGAGGGGAGTAGTAGACCATCCCAGACTACTCTGAAGTATGTGCTGTTTATATGTACCAGTTGATTATGGAAGATTTATTTTAGCTTCCTTATATAATAGCTGAGAGACTACAGTATAGATCTTATAAGGTTGAGTACCAAACCTTTACTCACCTGCTTACAGCCATGATATCTTTACAGGTGTTATGAAGCAGAGATTGAGGAGATAGATGAAGAAAATGGGACCGCTGCCATCACATTTGCTGGTTATGGTAATGCTGAAGTCACACCTCTACTCAATTTGAAGCCGGTGGAAGAAGGAAGGAAGGCAAAGGAGGACAGTGGAAATAAGCCCATGTCAAAGTAAGTGACTAAATGATGATTTGTGACATATGAACTTAGGTTGTATTTTCTCCATTTGAGTTCTTTTATGCCATCTGCAGTCAGACTGCCTGTGGTTGAGGCAAAAAAAAATTGTATCTGTTAACACATTTACCATTGGCCTGATAATTGGGTAGAAAATCTTTTCAAATCAATTGGAGTTAATTTTACCTAAATGATATATTTACATTATTTACATAACATGTTTCTACAAAGTTTTAAATTTTAAGTCATAAGAGTTTACTATAACAACAAAAAGTGTGACAATTTGATTTGTCACTTTGTCATTTTGATTCCTAACTATAAATGAAAGCTTTTTATTCTGATTTACCAGTGCCAGTGCTGGATTTCATAGAATTAAAAATTTCTCAAGTAGGAATGTTCTCATAAGTCATCTATTTCAACCTCTCCTTGAAGCATGAATTCCCACAACAACTTTGAGTGCCTGACATATTTGGGCATTTAATTACTGTTTGAATTTAATCCTTGACAAGTGATGGTAATCTAGATTTTGCTTGATGACCTCTAGTGCCAAGAGGTTTTCCTAGCCATCCCATTTCCTTTGGTTGGCTTTAATTGTTAGGAAGTTATTTCACATATCAAAACAAATTCTTCCATATAGCTTCTACCCATTAGTCCCAGTTTTTCCCCTCCTCTGGGGCCAGGCAGAGAGCAGAACTAGGGAATGAACATTACAAATTTAACTGAGAACAAGTTTTGTACATCAGCAGATTTGGGGCATCATACCGTCTTGGAGCCATTTTAAGTAAATCTTGGTGAAGCATCACAGCCTTTATTACCGTATAGTTGATTTTATCATTTTATCTCACCATTGTAATAGTCATGCTTGATCATAACTATGTTCCTGTTTTCAGTGCTTATTCTGTCCCTTCTCAGTCTGAAGTTCAGGCTATAGTTGTTCCCTTATTTCTTTACTGACTTGCATTCTTTAATTAGTGAAAAATCTAATGTCTAAATAACAATTACTATAAGAAACTTTTGTATTTCTGACCCTATTCAAAGTAAAAGAAATCTACATAATAGTTACCTTGCTGACGTATCTATAAATTCAGATTTAAATTGGTTGGCTTTTCTTTGTGATAACAATATCTGGTCATGTAGATGGAGAAATTTTATTGTTTGCTTTTTCTTGCCCTCCATATATTTTGCAGTGATGAGGGTAACATTTCTTGCTAAACTACTTCTATTTGGAAAATGGAAAAGTCTTGGTTGCCAATAAAAAACTAGTACTTTATTCAAATACATAGTAGCAAAAGTTGTATGATCAAGTGAAACGTTTATAATTAGACTCAGTTATTATCAGGTAACTGAGATTATATTTGTGCTGGAGGGTTTCCATGGACACATTTAGCTAAGAAAAGGTTTTAAATTCTTGCTTTTGATTGGTATTGGTTTTAGTGAATTAATAGCTGTTACTTATACACACAGGTGGACTTTTTTTTTCATAGTCACTGACTTCAGAGTTGGCATCTTATTTATCTTATTTCTTTTCACACAGAAAAGAAATGATTGCCCAGCAACGAGAATATAAAAAGAAGAAAGCATTGAAAAAAGCTCAGAGAATAAAAGAACTTGAACAGGAAAGAGAGGACCAGAAGGTGAAATGGCAACAGTTCAACAATAGAGCCTATTCTAAAAACAAAAAAGGCCAGGTTAGTAGGTCCTTTCATTGCGCTTTGTTTTCCAGGGGTGAAGCAGCTATTTTTAAAAGAATATTTGTAGGAAATGAGACAAGATTGTGCAAGAAATATAAATAATAATAATTTTTTTTCTTATTTAACTTTAGTAACTGAAGGATAAATCCCCCTTGAAAATCTCTTTGGGTTAATACTGAATTTTCTGTGGGTGTTATACATGAGTCCAAGACATTTTCCTTCTCTAAAATGTGAAACTTGAAAAATATATTTTGCACAAGGGAGATTTGCTGTACTATATACAACATATGATTAAGCAACAGTGATTTACCTGCTGTAAGACTCTATTGTCTCTCCCAGGTTATAATTATGTCTTCACTTAGTTTCACACTAATACTTTATATCTTTTACTCATACTCAAAAGTATACTTTACTGAATGGAGAAACAGCTATGGTGTAGTAGAAGGCAGTAGTATATTAGACTTGGAGTAGAGATCTGGGTTTACATTCTAGCTATGTGAACATAAATCAGTTTGTCCTGTGAATTGGTAGTCAGAAGATCTGAGTTCATTCTTGCCTCTGCTGCTTATTACATGTGTGACCTCAGGAAATCACTAACCCTGCCTGGGCCTCAGTTTCCTCAACTGTAAAATGGAGGATTTGGACTTGATGGCCTCTGAGGTTCCTTCTAGCTTTAGCTGTATGATAGTATTGATGTGCTTTACCGCTGAGTCTCAGCAGCATGTGTAAAATGAGGACACTGGACTTAAAGGATTACTAAGCTCCCTTCTAACTTAAAATCCTTTGACTGGGAAGAGAACACATAGGAAGTCAAGTATTTCTGCATATCATAGTTGTTACATAGTTCATATACCATCTGTGGGTAGAGGGGCTTTTTTTTTTCCTCTAGAGAAGTTTATTTTGCAGTTATCAAAGAGCAGAGTAACTCGGAATTTAAACTTTAGATAGCTGGTCAACATTAAATTCACAGTCATGATTCTAGCTAGTATAAAATAAGACTTTTTTAACCGAGTTTAGGATTTGAATTTGCCAAAATAAAATTGAATAACAACTTATGAGGACTTAGCTAATATTTTTTGAAGAAAGAATTATTTCCCCCATGCCTATGGCATGTTTAACATTTGCTTCTTTGTGTCTTCTGCCTGAAAATTTTTCTTTCCCTAGCTTTGACATTAGTGCTTGGTTTTCATAATTGGTAAGGTTTTTTTAAAAAATATATTTTATAGCCTAAATGTATATAGTATTTTAAGTTTAAGAATTAAATTTTCCCCAAGGCTAATCAGGAATTTTTTTTATTATTATTTTCTTAGGTAAAAAGGAGCATTTTTGCCTCACCTGAGAGCGTAACTGGCAAAGTTGGAGTAGGAACTTGTGGAATTGCTGATAAACCCATGACACAGTATCAAGATACCTCTAAATACAATGTCAGGCATTTGATGCCTCAGTAATCAGAGAAACTGGTGGATTTCATCTCTGCAGGGCTTTACATTTACGTTTTTATCCTTATATTTTTCTAAAGGTAAATTATTTGTTAGATAGTAAGGAAGAGACCATTGTCATCATTATCTGACTTCAAACAATAGAATGAGACTTGAAGAAATTACATTTGATAACTGCTTTTCAGTTGACTTTCTTCATTACTACCATTTCCCCCAGAATTTATCCTGTAATGCAACTTTTGTAGACAGATGCTGCCTAAATTCAGCACCTAGATGAAGTGTTTACCTTCCAGATATTAGACTTTGCCACATACCTAAGAGTTGTACCCTTTCCAAGTCATAACTTGGAACTTTCAGATGCTTTGAATTTGCCACGTGTTCCAGCAGCCTTTGGAGCTTCATGGTAAATCACCATCCTGCCGAGCAAATTTGTTCTTTCCAACTTGTTCTAATTTCAGTTTATACCCTAATTGTTGTCATCAGATTATGCTTAGATACAGGTCCATTTGTGGGTGGCAGAATTTGTTGTGAAGTTTTTCCCTCCAATAACTTCTTGAGTCTCTAGCCTTTTTTGGAATGACTTCAGTCCTCTTACACTTTTCATTGAGACTTTATTTTGTGTGAGAAACCATGTTGAAGACCAGCTACCTTTTATAAGTTTTGTACCTGTTTGCTTTTCTCCTCTGTTGACTTTCACTTCTGGTAGTGGTGCCACCTTTGGATGTGTAATGTTTATATGAGAAAAAAAAAAGCTAATGTATAGCCCTGTATACAATGTAGATATTATTTTTGTAAAGACTAAGGCTGAATTAATGAACAAGAGTACTCTGAATGTTTTCACCATTAAATTCTACTGTATTTCTTGTGCATTAATCTGACCATAATTTCCTTGTATATTATGTTCATGTAGCTGAGTTTGTAATTTTTGTTAACTAGATCAGGTTGTCAGCATTCATTGATGCAAGTGACCATCACAATTACCTGAGTTGCATTCAGTTCAAACTAATATATGCAACTGATAGTTTAGAATGACATGCATAGAAAAAGGTACTTCCTATTAATGGAAGATGGTGATTTTTATGACAAATGTGTTAATTTCAGTTTTGTATGTTTAACTTTTATTAAATAAAGTGTTTTTAAAATCTCTAGCATGTATGTAGAAAAGAAGAAAAGTCATGGGCTCTCAGACTCATTCTAGTAATTAAGACTGAATATGACAAATACATTTTAGCTACAGAAGAGAGATTTTGATGCCTGATGAGGACAGTAGTTGTTTTTTAATAAAAATGGGAATCTTCCTTATAAATTCTATTTTTTAGAAAGAAACAGTGGGGTTTGGGGGAGGAAAGGACATAGGTGATTTAATGAATTTTTGTTGAGGATTCATGAGACAGCAGAATAGGAGGGGAAAATGGCAAAAAGCATGTTTCAGTTTTATAAACATTTTGCTATCAGCAGATGACAACTGCCCCCCTGAATGAGTTAATATGTCACTATGGGCAAGTCATGCAGGACATATGAACTAGAAAGAAAGTTGAGATGGAAAATTCCAAAGAGCTTAAACATAGAAGGCACAAACTTGGTTAGAGAAGGGATGAATTAGCAAGAAAGCCTTTGTATTCCAAACAAAACTGCAGTAACTACTGTTTCTTCTTATCTTTCTCTTTCACCATGTAAATGGTGGGAGTGTGCCTTATGGATGTTGTGTATGATTATGACTAAATCCTTTTTTTAAGCCATAGGGTTTAAGAGAAATGTGTAGTTTTGCCTAATCAAAATGGTTTCTGAGTGGAATGATGTTTGTGTGTTTGCTTTGAAAATGGTTTATACCATGTGTTTCTGTAGAGGTATTATGTCATTTGAAGCCTCTGAAGACTCCTGGGTCCTTCCCAGGATTCTTCCTATCACACTCTAGATCCTCCTTTCTTGCTCTGTACCCCTTATGGAAGAAGTTTTGGTTATATGAATATATACATACATGGTTAAAGAAGGATAAAAATTTAAAGAAGTAACAATGAAATCTTTCTCAAAAGCAGATGTGATCAAACATTCCACCTTCCTTTATATACACATGTATGTGACTGTGAGAGATTCTGTGGCGTGTTCTCATAATAGTGTTCCCTTAAATATCTGTATTACCAGGCTTGACTTTTTTTAGCATTTGAGAGATGATTTTTTTATTAGAACTGAACTAATAATATCATTTTGTAGTAGGTATTGTATATCTGTCTGTATCCCCGGACTATGCAAAGCTCAGGATCCTTACATTGTAAAGCCAGACCTGAAAAAGGCAGAGAGGAAATAGAAATAGAAACAAAAGCCACTCTTGGAGATGGGAAATTTTGTTATCAGATCGTTTGTAGCCTTTTATCTTTATTGCAACAGAAATGAATGCAGATAACCAGGGATACCTAAGGAGATTGATCCTCTCTCTAGAGTGAGGGGTTAATCCTTGGGTGACAGCCCCAGCCCCAAAAGGGGCTTCAGTGTTTCTTCCCTCATTTGGTGCTGTGTTGTGAGTGAAACTTAAGTTCTGCATCAAGTAGCCAACTGTTGTACAGATCCTTGTGGTTCCTTTCTCAAAGCAGGTCAAGTTCTGAGCTAAAAAATTGTAATGAGAGAGAACACAACCAATTCATCTGCTTTTTTTGTCTTTGTCAATCCTTTGGAGACTGCCATGTACTACTATGAGGCAGCTGTGTGGCACAATGGATAGGGCACTGCAACTTATAAAGGGCCTGTAGTTGGGAGGATCTTAGCTCAAATCTAGCCTCAGACATGCACCCAGTGACCTGGGTAAGTCACTTAACCACTGTTTGCCTCAGTTTCCTCATATCATGGGGGGATAATCATAGCGCCTATCTCAGGCTTGTTGTGAAGATCAAATGAGGTAATATTTGTAAAGCAGGTTCTTAATAAATGCTAGTCCCCTTCCCCTTCTGTAGTTGTATCCTAAGGTATGTGTATTCTATGGCATCTGGTATATGGGACCCACTTTAGTCATTTTTACTGTCAGATCTAGGGACCTGGTTGGAGGCAAGAGGATCATAGGATCATAAACGTAGAACTGAAGGCAACCTCAGAGGATATCTAGTCCAAACTCTTCATTTTACAGATAATGAAACAAGCCCAGAGAAGTAGAAGTGGTTTGCCCAAGGTCATACTGTATTCAGAGGTGGGATTTGAACCCAAGTCCTGATTTCACAGCCACACTGGATGAACTGTATGAGATGACATCAGTAGGAGCAGCAGTGCCAGCACCAGTGCTACCTCACTTCTTAATCTGCACCAAACTTTTGCCAGTGCAAACCTTGAGTAGGGAACTGCTCTTTCCCTTTAGGTCATTCAAACCCCATTCCTCATCCTCATTGTTCCATTCTTCCTATTCCCCATCAATCCATCCCCCATAATGTCCTGCCCCAAGGCTAACCACTTCTTTCACTGTGCTCTCTAGAATGCCTGTTCCATAGGTAACAAATTTGCTTTCATCTTGAATCTTTTCATTCTCTTCTATCTAGCTCTCACTGAGACCTGATTCACTCCCTGGCCACCCTTTCTGGCATTGACCATTTCCCCCCATTGTTGAAATATTCTTTGCTTCCCATTGCCACATCTGGTTCTCCTAACACCATCATTCAATAACCTCTCCTTTAAGGTTCACTCAATCTATATTTGGGGCAGCTGGGATAGAATGCCAGATGTGTCAGAAAGACTCATCTTCCTGGTTTCAAATCTGGCCTCAGCTGCTTACTAGCTGTGTGACCGTGGGAGTCACTTAACTTTGTTTGCCTCCATCCCTCATCTGTAAAATAAGTTGGAGAAGGAAAAGGAAAACTAGTATCTTTGCCCCAAAAAACCCCAAATGGGGTCAGTGAAGAGTTAGACATGATTGAAAAACAACTGAACAATCTATATCTGCCAACCAATCAAAATCCTTGTAGCTATTGTCTATTGTGACCTCCAGGATACTCCCTTTCCGCAATGAGTTTAGTGCCTGGTTCACAATCTTTCCTTCCTAACCCCCGCCCTTATACTATGGGACTTCAGTATACATGTGGATACTAACTCAAACACCCTAACCTCTCAATTCCTCAACTTACTCATTTCCCACAACCTATGACATTCCACCTTAGCCACACAGATAGTTAAACCCTTGATCCTGCCACCACTCACATGTACCAATTCAACATTCATGAGCTCAAATTCTCTTAACCTGATTATAATATATTGGCATTCCATCTCTCCCCTGCCTTCTTCATCCACACTGTGACATGACTTCAATGAGAGAACCTCTCAGTTCTCTTCTAGGCGATCGCCCTTGAAAAGATTCAAGATGAAAGCTACCTTCTCCTTCCCCAATCTTGATCCCTTGGTGAATTCTACTCTACACTGTCCTCTTGAGTCCCCTGCCTCTTCCTGTCACCAATCTTTTCCTGCCAAGCCTCAGCCTTGGATCACTCCCACCATCCACTGCTTTCCCTCACATACATGTGCTATTGGATGAAGTTTTGAGAAAAATCACAAAACTGCTGAATGGATCCACTAAAATTATGTTACATAATGTCAATTGGGCCTTTCACTGCTTCACTCCCTAATTAATTCAGTGTCTCAGTCACCATAGTGGTTCTTCCAATCTTTTCATCTCTTCTTAAGTCTCCTGTAACTCCTGTTTCCCTTCAGCTGAGAACCTTGTTTCATATTTTACTGAAAAAATTAAGGCCATTTACTGAGAGCACTCTCTTCCTTCTCCTCTCACAGCACCCAGATGCCTTCTGTCACTCTTTTCCTTTACCCCTCCTGCACAGGATGAGATGGTCTTCCTTTCTAAAGCTAACCTCTCTACATATAAGAGTGATCCTGTTTCATTTGTTTTCTCCAGGAGATTGTCACCTCTATCACACTCTCACTTATCTTCAATCTCTCTGTCAACTGGCTGCATCCCTACTGCTTGCAAACATGCCTGTTTTCCCCCATCCTCAAAAAACTCTGACTTGATCCATCTATTCCTGCTATTGTCCCACATCTCTCATTTTTTTGTGGTTAAACTTGAAAAGGCCATCTACAATTAGGTGCCTCCACTTTTTCCCCTCTCACTTAAAACTTTACGGTCCAGTGTCTGACCTCACCATTCAATAAAAACCATTCTCTCCAAAGTCAACTGACCTTATATTAATTGCCAAATCTAATGGCCTTTTCCTCAGTCATCATCCTTGACCGCTTCAGCCTTTGATGCTGTCAGTTATGCTCTCTCTCCTTGATACTGTCTTCTAAATTTTCCTTATCTGGATGCCCCCCCCCCTTTTTTTGGCTAGGCAATGGGGTTAAGTGATTTGCCTAGGGTCACACAGTCAAGTGTCTGAGGCTAGATTTGAACTCAGGTCCTCCTGACCCCAGAGCCGGGTGCCCTATCCACTGTGCCACCTGACTGCTCCTCTGATCTGTTTTCAATCTCGAGTGGATTTTTCTCCATGTTAGCCCACAAACTTTGTCCTGGACCCTCTTCCCTTCTCCCTCTATACAGTTTCCCTTGGTGATCTCTTCAGTTCCCATGGATTCATTTAGAGTCTCTATGCATATGATTCTCAAATCCAGCCCTAACCTGTCTCCTGACCTCCAATATCACTTCTTCAATGCCTGTTGAGCATCTTGAACTGTTTATCCTGTAAACATCTTAAACTCAATATATTCAAACCTGAACTCTGTGTTTTTCCCCAGTCCCTCTTCTCTAACTTTGCTTTTGTTATTGTGGGTACCAACATCTTCCTAGTCCTACTCACAACCTAGGCATGGCATCTTGGGCTTTCACTCTCATCCCTTATATCCAGTCTGGTGGCAATGCCTATCAAGCTTACCTTTGCAACAGCTCTGTCATATCCCCTTCTCTCTTCTGATGGGGCCACCACCCTGGTGCAGACCTTCATCACCTCACACTTGGACTGTTGCAATAGCCTGCTGGTTGGTCTGCCTGCCACAAGTCTCTTCCACACTTCAGTCATTTGTCCATATAGCTGCCAAAGGGATCACCTTTAGAATCAAATATAAAATCTTCCTTTTGGCATTCAAAGCCCTTCATAACCTCCTACCCCAAATCCTTTCCAGTCTTATACCTTACCCCCCAATATATACTCAGCGATCCAGTGACCCTGTCCTCTGTGCTGTTCCTTGAACAAAAGATGGCATCTCCCAATTCCAGGCATTTTGATTGTCCCCAATACATGGAATGCTCTTCCTATTCATCTCCACTTCCTGGCTTCCCTGGCTTCCTTCATGTTCCTAATAAAAGCCTATCTTCTTTGGGAGACCTTTCCCAATCCCTCTTAATTCTAGTGCCTTCCCTCTGCTGATTATTTCATATTTATTCTGTATATAGCTTGTTTATATGTAATTATTTGCATGTTGTCCCTCCCATTCAGTTGTGAGCTCCTAGAAGACAGAGACCATCTTTTGCCTTTGTATCCTCAGCACTTAAAACAGTGCTTGGCACATAAAAGTTTATTGATTTAATAAATATTTATTGACTGACTTTTTCATCCTTTTCCCAGACCCTCACCCATCTTCATCACTTTGTTTACTTGTTTTACATTCTCTTCTGCCTACATCCTTTTTTTGCTACTTTAACTTTTTTTTTTTTTAGGCAATTGGGTTTGAGTGACTTGCCCAGGGTCACACAGCTAGTAAGTGTCAAGTGTTTGGTCTGAGGCTGGATTTGAACTTGGGTCCTCCCGACTTTAGGGCCAGTGCTCTATCCACTGCACCACCTAGCTTCCCCTTGCCTGCGTTCTTAAGAGGTGTCCTATGAGTACAAGGACCATAGTTATAATTTAAATATTTCGCCCCATTTGAAAATCATAAAACATGCAGTTTATCATGTGTCCTGATTTCTGTTCAGAAAGGATGCTTACCATGCCCTTTAAGGAAGTTGAGGAATGAACAAAACATGAATTCAGAAGGGAGAGAGTCTCTTGATGCTCATTTCTTTCTTTTCAGCTATTGTCAAACAAGATCATTCTTCCTTCCTCCCCTCAAATTCTGCACAAGCTTTGGATGAATTTCCACATCTAGTTGTTCACATCCATCCTCTATGACTGGGAAGGAAAGCTCCTATGATGCTTAGCTCTCTTTTCGTGTTCTCAATAAGTTTAAAATGAAGTCGGGGTTTAAAAGGAATGAAAGTTTTGGTCTTCTAGAATGCCTTTGTTAAGTAGGAGGTCTATCATTTAATAAAAATTTCCGAGAAGCATGGGAAGACTTCTATGAACTGAGGCAGAAGCAAACAGAACTAAGAAAACAACATACGTGATCGTAATAATATAAATGACTACTAAGAGAAGCTGAAAGCTGTATAATTTTAGTGACTTGGCAATGGCAAAGAGATAAAATGCACTTCCCTCTTTGCTAGGATGAGGGTGATGAATATAGGATATTGCATGTGCTATCAGATGCAGTTGTGTCATTTTGCTAACCTGCCATTCTTTGTTAAAAAGGGAAGGTTCATTGGGTGGTAGTAATTGGGGGCAGCATATCCAAAAATGACTGATGTAAAAAGCAGTTTGAGAACCATCTCCTAAAGTGAATTTAAAAAAAAAACTTGTAAGGGTAAAAGTATATTACAAATTAGGTTAACTGAAATTAATTCCAGAAAAAACAAAATCAAATTTTTCTTAATTTGAGCAGTAAGGACCTAGGTTTTAATGTGATCATGGGTAATCAGTTTCCTCTCGGCCTCTTTTGTCTGTAAAATGAGAGGCTGTACTTGATAAGCTCAAAGATCCTCTTCAGCTCTAAATCTATGATCTTAAGACTAGATTCAATTCAATAGGTATTCAGTGACAGTAACATGCAAGCATGTTCAAAGTGGGAGCAACGGCCTACAAAAATGGCAAATCATAGTCCCTTTCCCTCATTTGAGAGCTGCAAGCATAAAGTAGAATGTCAGTGTTGGTATAGTTTTAAAAGTACATTATTAAGAGTCAGAGAGCTGCTGGAATCTTAGATCTGCTACTTGGTTGTCTGACCATTGGCAGGTCACAACCTCTACCCCAGTTTGCCTACCTGTAAAATTGGGGATCGTTTGGATTTATTTAGCTAGCTGGTGCAGATGGTCCTAAGTATTCTGTCTCTAAATTATATTACTAATGTCCTATGAAGGTAATGATTTGTAAAAAGGAAAGGTACAAAGTGCTCTAAGAAAATCTGAGAAGGGAAAAAGAATGTCTCTGAAGGATCAGTGAAGCCATGGAGGAAGAGTGGCACCCAAGTTTATCTTGGAATGAAGAGGCTTTTCTGCAGTTGAATGTGTGGAAGAAGTACATTACAGGCATGAAAGATGGCTTGCAAAAAGCATAAATGGCAGTGTTATTTAACGTAAGGCCAGTAAAGTGCTTGAATTGCACTATGAAGCCTTGAGCTTTGATACTTCGAATAGAAATGTTAATATCACTTTGATGATAGCTGATTAGAAAAAGTCTTGGAACCATCACTGAGCTTGTTTTGTTTACTTCTCCAATATTTTGTTCTTCATGTGTCTTGGTCAAGAAATATATATTTATTTGTATGCATACATGCATCAAATTAGCTGGACTACTTAGAATGTTTTACTTCTTTTAATGTTCAGATCAGGAAAAAAGAATCTGACAATTTAATTTATGATAAGTCTAGAATTACCTGGCCACTATTCTATATTGATGTTTATAAATGAACATAAGAAAACACTGGAATAGTGCATCTGAATGTCTTTTCCACTTTCTATTTAAAAATTCATTCTTCAAAAAGTACAGGATAAAATTAGGGAACAGCTACATTTACATAGTACTTTAAGGTCTACACCACTTTTCAAAATTCATTTGATCTCATTTGATCCTCACAACAAACCAATGAGATAGGTACTATTATCCCCATTTTACAGATAATGAAACAGATGTGTTAAGTGACTTGTCTGTAGTCACACAGTTAGTGAGCACCTGAGACAGGATCTTCCTGACTGCAAGCCCAAGATCAGTCTTCCTGACTTCAGACCCAGTACTTTATCCTATGTGCCATCTAGCTGTCCTCCACTGGGGCTTAGAGATTGTACTATTCTACCAGGTCCTAGGAAGAATCATGTCTAGACTCAGGAATCTTCAGAATCTTTCAGAGATCCAAAGGAAACAAAGGATTGACAAGCCAAGACAGACTGAGAATCAAAAGCAGAGGGGACCAACTCCGGACCCTTTTCAGAGAAGTCCCCCTGGGACTGGAGGGTCCCATTCTCTATCTGTTATACCACCTAGCTGCCATGGTTGTATAAAATAAGTCTGAAACATAAGTTAGCGTCATACTAGGAGGGCATTAAATGTCAGGACAAATTTTGTGTTTTATCCTACAGGTAGTAGAGAGCTGAAGTTTTCATGTAGGGAGATAGCAACAGAACTATTCATTAGATTATTTTGGCAGTTGTGGGAAGGAGCCTGGAGAGAAACCAATTAAGAGGCTATTATTAGGGTTATCCAGGTGAGAAGTGATAAGGGTTTGAATTAAGGCCTTGACATAAGTGGAGGGAGAATGGATAGCAGAAGAGAATGCACAGGAGAAATATTGTGGAGATAGGATTTCACAACCATTTGGATGAGGAAGAAGAAAATCCAAGATGAATCAGGTTTTGAGTTTGGGTGACTGAGAAGATAGTGAGTGGTTTCTTTAACAAAAATAGGGAAGCTGAACATGAAGGTTTCAGGGCATGAGAAAGATAAGTTCAATTTAGTACATGTGAAATTGAGGTGCTGGGTGACTGCCAGGTGAAGATGTCCAGGAGGCAGTTGGAAATGTAAAAATGAGGTGGTGAGATAAGGGCTGGATACATAGATTTAGGTGTCTGCATAGATTGTAAGCTCCTTGAGGGCAGGGATTGTCTTTTGCCCCTTTTTCTATCCACTGTGCAGTACCTGGCACACAGTAGGTGCTTAGTAAATGTTTATTGATTGACAAAGTAATTGAGTTTGTTAAATTTTTTTTGTTTTTCCTTTAAATCTCAATTGAAATGTCATCTCTATAAAACCTTCCTTTAACCCTCTGATAACAGCCATCCCTCTAGGACAAACAGCACTTTTGTTATGTATTGTAGGTAGCAGGCACTTACTGTTTATTGAATTTAAATTATACACTATTATTGTGTATTTTAGTTATCCAGATAGGCTTTATTAAATAATAGAGCTCCAATTTACAAGAGAACCCTAGAAGAGCAAAACTGTTTCATCCCTTCTAACTCTGACTTAATAGCCTATAAGCTCTATGAGGACAGGATTAATGTCTTAACAAAATTTTGTCTCTTTCCCAGTACCCAGCACACTATTTTTAATGCAGTAGGTACTTAATAAATGTGCGCTGAATTTAAGCAAATTGAATAGAGAATGTAGACAGAGAAATAACACAGCCTTGGAAGATACTCAAACTTACAGGGCAGATGGAAGAAGAGGAACTTGCAATGGAAAATGAGCAGGTAGCTAGGTAAGAGGAAAACAGACAGGGGACTGTCACTAAAACCAGAGAAAAGGAGAATAATGAGACCAAGGTGACAACAAGGTCAAATGCTGCAGAAAGATCCAGGAAGAAAAATGTAGAGGTGGCCTTGCTCTCTAGGGTCTTTTCCAGCTCTGTCATTCTATGTATCTGAATATTTGCATCATTACAGTGACAATTCTGCCGGTAACCTGCCTGGTTTTTATAGTTCCAAGTTACAGGAATGCTAAATTGTCATGTATATAGTATAATTTCAGTTTCATGAAATTCTTTAATAACCCTGTTGTCAAGGTATTAGAGTACCCCATCCTAGGTTAACATTAAGTTTTTACTGTACTGAGATTTCTAGAGATATCTGAAGTGTGGGATTTTGCAATGGGACACAAATAGCCAACTCCAAGCTACGAAAAATTGGTTCTGGATTTGTGAGCCAGTTAATTTAT